TGCATTGGAGGTAAGAATCAGACTTGGTTATAAGTCATATGCCAAGCCACAACCAACACAGGCTGATTAGTGGGCAGGTTGCTCTTTTGTGGAGAGACTTGCCCAAGGGACACGGGATCTTCCAATGCCTGCCGGGGCAAAACTAAAGCCAAAAAGGGGGGCAGATATCACAACAGGGTTACAGTGAAATCTGGGAAGTATGTCTCCCTACTAGAGATCAAGCCACACCTTGAAACCCCACAGGAAAGATGCTAAAGCAAGAAGACACGTGCCTGTGGACCCCTAAGCCTCCACACCTCTGCTCATCATTGTTGTCACTGCTCGAATTTAAGAGACCTGCAGGGAACAATGTGGGTCTTGCAAAACAGCCTAGTATTCACGTTTAAAGAAAAAATATATACTTTTTTCTTTCCCTACTTCCTAATCCCTTAGTTTAAAAATACAATTTAGCTATTTTTACTGTTGTCTCAACTTTTTAGTTAGCTCATATTAAGTTTATTGCAATCATTCTTAATCCCTAATTTTCCACCTTCTTACTACTTCACCCATTTCTCATATTCCAGCATTCATTTACATTCTAACGATTTCACTTACGCACCCAGAAAATGTTTATTGTCTCGTATGTATCAGGCAGTGTGTCAGGTGTTGGGGCACAGTGGTAAGATCTCAGCGAATTACAGGACATTCTCGGTCAACTCTTTTTGGAAAGTGAATTTTGAAAATTTTGCTCATCGTCCAACACATGCATATACAATCTGTCCGTCAAAAGGAAGATCCTTGGGGCACCTGGGTGGTTCAGTCGGTTAAGCATGCGACACTGGTTCAGATCATGATCTCACAGTTCCTGGGTTCGAGCCCAGAGTAGGTAGGGCTCTGTGCTGACAGCTCAGAACACAGAGCCTGCTTCTGATTCTATGTCTCCCTCTCTCTCTGCCCCTCCCCTGCTTGTGCAATGTCTCTAAAATAAATAAACTTAAAAAAAATTTTTTAAATAAAAAAGAAGATCCTTTCTGTCATGTCTGTAGGCCACATGAACACAGTACAAAGCTTTGGCAAGTAAGAGCCGTAACCACTTAGAGCTTATTCTGCACCGGGTATTGTTCTAAGTTCTTGACATATATTAACCGATTTAATCCTCTCGAGCCATTTTACAGTTGAGAACACTTGGGCCCAGCAAGCCTAAGTGACGTTTCTAAAGTTACGCAGTAGTGGAGCTGGCCTGGACCGCAGGCAGTCTGGCTCCTGATTGCCATTTTTCTGACCCCAGTGGGGCTGAGGCCTCCTTAAGGTCTGCTTTCCACACAATGGAATTTACAACAGCAGGAAGCAAGTAGAGGCATTTGTGGCAGAAATTATATTCCAATAAACATGGCTCATGGCTCATCCTGATAAGGATGGAATGGGCTTTGGAGAATTTCATACGGTCATGAAAATAAACATGTGATTTTGACCTTCCAGAAGTGACAAACTATTCAAAGTATCCCATTTTTATCTTTTCCTCGTTTCTTCAGCCTTCACTTTAGATAGTGATGTCCTGGCAGAATTTGGCTCAAAACTGGCAGTGGCTTCCCAACCCTAAGTGCAGAGACACATACAACCTGGGAATAGGGACACGTCTACCTTTCAAACTAAAAAAAAAAAAAAAAAAAAAAAAGACAGTTGCGCTGCTTGCAAAAGCTTATAGCATCCTGCACAAAACTCCCTCACCTTTTTCATGCGTGTCACAACCCAAGTCCAGAAAGGTTAAGTAAGGTTTGCCAAAAGCCACAGAGCTGAACCTTAGTATCTTCTCTAGGCACATAATCAACCTGTTCTTCCTGATGAGTCAACTCCTGCGTCTTGGGTCCCACAGTCATTACAGGTATTACAAACGGTGGTCCCTAGACCACAGCATTGGCATCATCTGGGAGCTGGTTCACAATGAAGACTCGGGCCTCACCCGCACCTGCTGAATCAGGTGATCCATATGAATAAAGCTGGAAAGGGGCTGGGACGGTCACTAATTCCGTTTTCTAGATATCGTAGTTACAGGAGAGGAGCTGTTGTTGACTAGAAACACATCAATCTCTTGAAAGGTATTTTCCCAGCCTCACCTTGTAACTGAGCTTAAAATTATCTTCCCGATGCAAAACAATCCGCAGTTTGATTTAAGGTACATGTAGGCTTTTTAAGGCTCAGTCTTTCCTTGGTGAGCCAATATTAAGGCTGCACATGTACAAAATTATGTTTCTTAGGAGACCCAAAAAGAAATGGCCAATAGTCCCACCATCTTTACAATGACTCATGCTGGTATCTTTTCTTCAGAGCGGGCTGACGGTCTTTCCCGAATCCCAGCAAGCCTCTTTAGCACAGACAGCAAACATAAATCTCAGCCCAGCTCCTGCCCCAGTTAACATGAAGTAATCAAATAGTAACAGCTACCGCTTACATGGTGCTTACGATGTGTCTGGTGCTGTCATGATAGATTAAATAGATCAAAAGCTCAGTGAATCTTCACAGCAACCTTACGTTATGAAGCGACGCAGAGAGGTTAAGCGGCTTGCGCAAAGCCACACAGCTAATTCATGGCACAGATTCGAATTCAGGCTGTCTCCAGAGGCCACGCTGGTGACCAGAGCACCACGCTGCCTCTCAAGATTCAAATTAATGCTGCCAAGGTTCCAAGAGTCCCTTATTAAGACGCTCTCATGATAAAGACTGATCTTTTACTTAGGTGAATGTAGTTCACTTCCGAGACCTTACTCGACAAAACGGAAGAGGGAAGCCGGCAGCGCTACGAAGATGCGATTTTACAAAGCTAAAACATTACCTCTGGTCTCTCATTCTTGGTGGTGATTGCAAGACCAGGCAGTCTGCTGCACGGAAGTACTTTAAAACGTCCTTCTGCCTGTGATTGGAACCGGCTCCAACATTAAAACTGCATCATGTTTGCCATAAATGAGAAGCAGTTGTGAACTCTAAGGATTCGTGATATTGCCGGCTTTGCTTATCTATCAAATCTGTGGTCTAATTTCTCTTTTTTAGCTGCAGACAGCTCTTTTTCTAAATGAAATCTTAAGGATGATTCCAATATATGTGACTGCACAAGACCTCGTGCTTTGGCGAGAGTGAAGAGGGAAAATGATCTCGACCTCCACCCTCCACCTCGGCGTCCCCTGAAGGCGTGTCCCTAGAACTCTAGAGTCCCGGACACGCAGAATGAAAACTGCCACAGGCATCAGAAGGAGCCGCTTAGCATGTGCCCTATTCCAGCTCTCCTTAGGCCTCCCCGCCTGACCCCACACACGACGACGTCGTTCGCCTTCTACCGGGAAGACTGCACAGCATCTGAATTCTGCTGTGGAGCTGAAGGGAAGAAAAGTCTTGACGCACATTTGAACAGGGCACTGTCCAGCGTTTGGCAAAACAGAAATAGGTCACAGAAACACAAGGAAGGGTCACATTTCCAACCACAGAGTAAGCCACAGGCGTGCTAGGGGTATAAACAGTCAGATATATATATGCTCAATGGAGAGCAAATTTTGATTTTTGTTCTTCGGTTACTTCTGTCTGCCCTGGAAACACAAATCAAAGTGACGCAACCGACAATCCTGACCAACCTGTTCACCACAACACACACAACACACAACACACCCCGAGTGGCTGGCTAGTCACCACTGCCGAGCCATTATCCTTGTGGGCGCATATAAACAAAACTGAAATGTAGGTAAGGTAGTATTTAAGGTAGTTTTAAGCGCTGACCGCCCACAGGGAGAATGGCAAAGTGGTTCCCAATATGGTGGCATTTGTGGAACCAGATGTCAGAACCTTCAGATCCCCCAGGAACCCTGCGAACCATTTCCAGCCACCCCCGGCCCCAAACTCAATGGCCTTTAAGTAATGCCTTTGAGTAAAAGAACATGAAAGCCCAGCTCCCTTGCCCAGGGTGGGTCAGGACAACTTTGAGGCAGACTGAACCTTCCAGAGTCCCTGTCCTCTTTGGGACTTGGCCTGACTCTTTCTTGGCTCCCTTCCCCGTCCTGGTTCCTTCTTCTGTTCTCCTAGGGCCACTTCGTTTATAATCACTTGCACATGAATTCCCATCTCAGGGTCTGCCTCTGGGAAACGCCGCCTAAGAGACCACACCACCCAGCTCACTACCCAGCTGGCCATCACCGTGAATCACGTGGCCTCCCCAGTGGTGGCTCTGGCATGCAGTTAATTAACACAGTATCTGCCACGCCCTTTTCCTACCACAAGTGTGTCCAGAATCTTTAGCCTAAATTGATCTTATTTGATTGAAAGGGTGGGGCCCTAAACCTAAATATTATACAGTCTCAGTTGAGAAGAAGGTATAGGGCATAGCACGTTTGGGTTAAATAAATGTTACATTAAAAAAAAACCAAAACCTTCCCATGATGCAGTAGTGTGTTTCCCTCACGAAGCTGGGCATAAGTGCTTTAAATAAATCTGTGGAGAGTGGAGTTTGTGTCTCAAAGGTCACAGACTTGCAGTACCGAGGAGCTATAAAACCGTACTAGAGGTGAAAGGTGAGAACTCGTACATGTGTTAAGACAGACCTTGAAAGCTTCTTATAAAGAAAAAAATGTTATTTTTTGAGAGAGCACAAGAAGGGGTGGGGCTGGGGGGGTGGGGGACAGAGGATCTGAAGCGGGCTCTGTACTGACAGCAGCAAGCGTGATGCGGGGCTCAAACTCACCAACCTCGAGATCATGACCTGAACCGAAGTCGGATGCTCAACCGGGCACCCCCAAAGTTGCTTTCTGACCAGATTTTTTCCATGAGCTTACTTTCTTTTAATTTTCCTCACTCTGTGGGTTTGCACGTGGCAAAAAATGTGTGGGTTCCCTTGGGTTCCACTTATTCTGAGACCTGTGAAGCAAGCCCACCCTGTGGGATGTGAACCGTGATCAACCCAGGGGGATGCGGTGACCCGGATGGGGCCGGCCTCCCGTCACTGCACACCTGAGCTTTCACAGACACGTGACAGCGTGGCTCACCTTTATTCCCAGGGCTTCTCCAGAAATGACAGCAACTGTCACGCCATCCTTACTGGGTTTAGGGATTTCTTTACTTTTCAGTTCCTGGTACTGAGGCTCCACCATCTTCTCCGAGCTTCTCAAATTAACCCACAGCTGTAGGCCGTGGGCTGGCTCCTCCGAGCAAGGCATCTCCGCGTGCAGAATGCCCCGGCCCGCGGTCATCCACTGCAAAGAGGAGACCCACGAGAAGGAAATGTCACCCGGCCTCTAAGGAGCCTGCGGGGGGGGGGGGGGGGGGGGGGGGGGGGGGGGGGGGGGGGGGGCAGTTAGGTCATGGGGACGACGCAAGGCACCTTACAGGTGCCGCTTTCGGAGTCCCTGGGCGTCATGAGGAGTAACCAGGAGACAGTGACCATTGCTAAAGCCTTTTCCGGGATTCCAAAAGCTTCCCAACCTTCCTCACTTAAATTCAAAGCATCAGCTCTGAAATTCACACAAATGGAAGAATCTTCTCTTTGGGATCCCCGAGTCTTCGACTGAGCTCTGGGATGGGGAGGGGAAGCTGCAGGCAGAGGGCACACCGGGGTGCACTCTGGGTAGACACACCTTAAGTGAAAAACAAGACCCCATCGGGCTGCGGGAGAAGCCAAGCGGCGCTGCGGTTACGGCGGAGGCCCCGGCCGGTCCGACACGGAGCGCCGGCACTGGGGGAGCCTGCACAATCGTCCCAAACCCAGAAGAGGCAAGCGGGCTTTGCTGTCCCCACACCGGCAGACCGTGAGCCGAGGGCCACCCTCCCTCCGTAGGGAGAAGCGCCCGGGGAGAGGCGCTTCCTGCGGCAGAGGGCAGTGCCTGGCATGGGCTGCAGCTGGGAGCCGTCACGCCAGTACTCGCGGCAGCGGGAGGCCACTCGCGCGGGCCCGCCGCCGCGTGCGTGGGGGCCTACGGCTGCGTGGGGGGGCGAGGGGGCCTGCCGCGACGCGCGGAGGCTCCCGGCATGCGCTGCGCCGCGGCAGGTGGCTCGCGGCTGCCCGCTCGGTTCCGGTCAGGGAGCCCTCGCGGCGTGGAGAGACGTCCGTCGCCTCCGCTGTCGTGCAGAGTCTTCGAGCGTTTGTCCGTTTCTTTACTGAGAGCACGTCAGGGGCCAACCCGAGACGCCAACCTGGGCATCTGGGGATGAAGGGATGGAACGTGGCCGACAGGTTTCCTGCCTGTCTTAGCTTGCGTCCGGCCACAGAAATCCTGACAAAAGGCCTTAAAGCCAAGTATTTATTTATGGGGGGGGGGGGGGGGGGGGGGGGTGCTGCAGGAAGCACAGGTGACGTGGGAAACAGCGAGCTAGGTAGGAGAGAAGGGTGTGAATGAGCAGGGGACATCTGTGGGCACCTGGGGCTCGGCCCCACCGCAAGCGGGGCAGACGGGTGCACACAGGGGTGGGGGAGGTGAGCCGTCTACCCCCCAACTCCCAACCCTCTTGGACAACAGTTCCTCGGGGGGTGTTTAATCCCCAGCACGCCCGGCTGCCGAGAAAGCCCTCAGGCAGAGCAGCGGCACGGGAGACGGGCGGCCACGCACACTCATGGGGGCTGTTGCCACCTGGCCTCAGGCGGGCCAGACGGCGAGGACGCAGGCCGTCGACAGCGTCTTCCAGACGGCCACGGTGGGGGAGACAACTCCATAAACAATCAAATAATCGCCGGCATATGCTTGCACCTGGGGCACTGGGGGGCACGGCAGGTGTGTGTGAGAGCACGTGGAATGGCCTGCCTGTTCCAGGCAGCTCGGCCGAGGGTGCAAGCTTCAGGCCGAGACCCGGACAGGGAGTGAGAAGTGACCAGGGTTAGGGGGAGAGGGAGGTATTCCACACAAGGGGAATGGCACGCGGAAAGGCTCTGAGGCAAGAAGGAGCAGGATCAGCCCCAACCTGCAAGCAGGCCGGGACACATCTAGATTGATTTCCACCTTCCATTTGAGAAGACCGATTAAACTTAGCCCAGGGGTCTGCAGACTACAGCGCAGGGGCCAAACCCAGCGGGCCACCTGATTCCCTACGTTCAGTTTTCCTGGCGCACAGACGTGCCTGCTCACGGACGCGCTGCCTGTCTGCTTTTGTGCCGTAAAGGCGGAGTTGAGGAGCTGCCACACTTCAGGCACTATGACCACAAAGCCTAAAACATCGCCACCTGGTCATTAGAGAAAGCAGCTGCTGCCCCCCGCTCTAAGGCAGTGAGGGAGATCTCCGTGCCCTTCCGTGCCGCACGGCTTCCATCTGACGGCAGCCGGTGCTGGTCCTCAGGGATGTGTCCTCCTGTTTGCTTTCCTGTTTCGTTTATAGCTCAACTCTCCATATTTTCGATCTACTTTTTGTACCTTCTTCATCCTTTTTTAGGCACAACCTAGTTTGGCAGCAACTTTCTTAATACGGCCCACCTATCGGATTTGGAGGGGGGGAGAACAGATTTCCCTTTTTCTTTTTTATTTATTTTGAGAGAGCGCAAGAGAGTGAGCACAGGCACATGCGGAGGAGGGGCAGAGAGAGAATTCCAAGCAGGCTCCACGCTGTCAGCGCAGAGCCCAGTGTGGGCTCGATCTCACGAACCATGAGATCATGACCTGAGCTGAAATCAAGAGTCAGACACTTAACTGACTGAGCCACTGAGGCACCCCCAGATTCCTCTTTTCAACCTCACCATTTACTAGCTCTGATGCCATGGACATCTTTTTTTTTTTAACATCAGTCAATCCCCACTCTCTCATTTTAAAAATGAGGTAAAAAGAATACTTACCTTAGAGAGATTATGTGTATGAAACTGCTTTCAATTTCATGTTCATGAAACACCACGATGCAAATATCTGCAGTTATCACTCCACGAGATATGTAAATAACCCCAGAAAGTTCCTGACACAGAGTTCAGACTTACAAACCCAGCAAAGAACACCCAAGCATTCCCTGGAGATTGAAACGTGTCTCAAGCCCAGGATGGCGGCAAGGTTTGGGTCATAGTCTTAAGTGACACCACCGACCCCTGCGAACAAGTTGGCAGATAAACAGTGCAATGTTGCAAATGCAGCAGAAAGGTCTAGAAAGATGACAACTGAAACTGGTATGCCGACTTTGGCAATGGGGACATCATGTGTGACCACTGTCTGAATGGCTTCGGCAGGGGTCTGGGTGGAGGTTGTGAGGCCAGCACTGATTTCAGTGAGTGAAGGATAAAATGGATGAGGAGGTTAAGATAATCATTCTTGATTATGCTTTGGAGAAACTTAAGAGAAGGACTAGTTGGGAGCTAAAAAGTGATTCAGGGGGGTCAAGGAAAGCTTGAGAGAAGAATACAAGACACCTGTGCAGGTTTCTAGGCTAAGTGGAAGGATCCACAGAGAGGAAGAGGTCAAAAATACACAAGAGAGGGGAGGAAAGCATGAATGTACTAGAAGTGGGTGAGACGAAGCATGTACACCCACAGATGATTAAACCACCAGCAGTTCCATGTCCTTGGCCATACCTGCAGGTCTCCTGGGTTCATCTGACCAACATGTCCACAGAAGTCTTCATGGGCCATGCTGCCCCCTTCCAGGAGGTAAGATACCTTTGAGAAAACAAGCAGAAGAAAAAGTAGGTCTTTGGCCAGCTGTGAAGAACTGTTCACTTTTTCCACAGAAAATGTGGTGAGGAAAGTGTCAGGAGCAACGAAGACAGTAGTGCGAGCTGAGGGAATGAATCTCAGTGAAAGGGCCGTGCTAGCCCATACGACGCCTTTGAGAGAGGGGGGAGGGAGGGAGAGAGAATCCCAAGCAGGCTCCACACTGTTGGTGCAGAGCCCGACACCAGGCTCGATCTCACGGTTTGTGAGATCACGGACTGAGCCGAAATCAAGAGTTGGACGCTTAACTGACCGAGCCACCCAGGTGCCCCAAATTCATATACGTTAAAGTCAACTTTTCTAGGGGCATGTCCATGCTAAGAACGGAAAGAAATTCTGTATTGTTCAATAGAATAGCCATTAGCCACTAGCCACGTGTGGCCGTTGAGATTTAAATCAATTAAAGTGAACGAAAATTAAAAATTCATGGGCCGCCTGGGTGGCTCAGTCGGTTGAGTGTCAGACCTCGGCTCAGGTCATGATCTCACAGTTTGTGAGTTCGAGCCCCGTGTCGGGCTCTGTGCTGACGGCTCGGGGCCTAGAGCCTGCTTCCGATTCTGTGTCTCCCTCTCGCTCTGCTCCTTCCCTGCTTCCCACACACTGTTTCTCTCTCAAAAATAAATACAGATTAAACAAAAATTTAAAAAAAATTCAGCTCCTCAGTTGTACTAGCCACATTTCAAGGCCAAATCCCTGCCTCTCCCCTTCCTTTTTGGTAATCAGCCTGCCCACAGAAAGCAAGTGCCTCTGGGAGGGGCCAGCCCCCATGGCAGTGGCCTTCAGGGGTCCAGCACATCCAGTGAGATCTGAATAAAGTCTGCCTAAGTTTTGCATACAGTATTTGGAAGCCCAGCTGCATGTAGAGAGAAGCCACACTCTCCAATATCAGCTATCTCGGAAACAAAGTGTTTTTCGTGTGTCTGCCATCTTTCTCTTTCATCTTCTCAAATGGCTCAGAATTCATGCTGGGAAAACAGGCCATCATTTATTATGCCTCCTCATACCCCAAACTAAGGGCAATTAAAGACCCGACACTGTGAAGCTGCTGAAATCTTATAGTGTAGCCTTACAATAAACCCCCTTCTTCTTGAACCAGCTTCGTTGGATGCCACTTCCTGAAACTAAAGACTTATCGGGCACTTAACGACAATAGAAATCAGGGCTGGTTGACATGAGGACTCTCCACATGTCATCCTGCCGAGCGATGACAATGAGGTACACTGTGTACAGAATGGCCTCAGCAGGTGACAGGCAGATGGCTACAGAAATTGGAGGTTCTAGGTTGTGATGGTCAACGTGACTGGGCTAAGAGACGCCCAGATACATAGTAAAATACCACTTCTGGGTGCATCTGTGAAGGTGTTTCTGGAAGAGATTAGCATGTGAATCGGTAGCCCGAGTGAGGAACATTGCCGTCCCAGTGCGGGTGGGCGTCATCCAATTTGCTGGGGGCCCAAAGAGAACAAAAGAAGGGTGAATTCTTCCTCTCTCTTCTTCAGCTGGAACATCCGTCTTCTGTCCTCAGACATCAGAGCTCCTGCTTCTTGGCCTTGGGACGCTGAGACTTCACACCAGCAGCAACCCCTGTCCCATCTCCCATTCCCCTGTTCCCCGCCCCGGGCCCTGCCCCCAGTTCTCAGACTTGGGCCTCAGACTAAATTATACTACCAGCTTTCCTAGCTCTCCAGTTTGCAGAGGGCAGATGATTATGAGACTTCTCCACCTGCATAACCGCGTGAGCCAGCTCCTGTAATAAACCCCCTCTTGTACATCTCTATACATCCTAGTGGTTGTTTCTCTGGAGAACCCTGACTAGATTCCTACTCTCAAATCCCCACAGGGCAACTTGCTATACTAAATGGCAACAGTGCAACATTGGCACGGGATGAGAAGAGGCCCATTTGCGTGGAGAATTTATATGATGACAGCAATTCCAAATCAGGGGAGCAGGGGCGCATTTTTCAATAAACAGTATTGGAACAAAGGACTGACCATATGAGAAAAGAGAGTAAGCCCCGCCCCCACATATGGAAACATGTTCCAAATGGACAAAGATTTAAATGTTAAAAATAGGCTTCTGAGATTTAAATCTAAGAAGGCAACAAGAATACAAAATGTCAGCACAAACCTATCTTTGGAATGTTTATTATAATAGCAAAAAGACAGGAGAACATTCTGCAACTGTTAAAAAGTAATGGAGATGTCTATTCACCGACACAGAAAAATGAGATACTATTTAATCAAAGCAAGTAGGTTACTGAACAGGAATTTTACTTAAAGGGGTCACATGCAATGATGAGTTTAAATGGGTTCATTTAAATAAAATCGTACCCCATCATGTTAGGACGCACCTGCAGATGCCCGGATGAACACACCAAAACGTGGACAGAGGTCATCTCCAGATGGTGGAATTGCAAACACATTTTATTATCCCCTTCCCACTTTTCTGACAGTTTGGGTTTTCCACAATGAGTCGTTTACTTTTTTATAATGGAAAACACTTTTTTATTTTACGAAAATATAAAGATATTACCACTGATCAGTGAACAAAAAGAAGTGATATGCTTTATTCTGCAGAGAAGCTGGTGACTATTTGTTCCCTCTTTGGGCGAACCGGGGCTGGCCAAGAAGGCAGTGAGACAGAAGGGAAAACACAGAGAATCGGAAGAATAGCGCCATCCTATGGAAGAGAACAATATAGCTAGCTCTGACTTTCATATGTCACCACGCAGAAAAGACCTGGGACTCCTATAGAGGCCAAAACAGGAATGAAGGACTTAGGACCTCATACAAAGCTTAAACATTAACAAGTGCCTGGGTGGCTCACTCAGTTAAGCATCAGACTTCAGCTCAGGCCACGATCTCAGGTCACGAGTTTGAGAGCCCCACACCGGGCTCTCTGCTGTCACCACGGAGCCTGCTTCAGATCCTCTGTCCTGTCCCTCTCTCTGCCCCTCCCCTGCCTGTGCTCACCCTCGCTCTGTCTCTCTGAAAACTAAACTCAAAAAAAGCATTGATGAAGAGAAATAAAAAGCTTCCAAATCTCAAACAACCAAACTAGAAGAAACAGTGTCCAGAATTGCTTTCCTTTTCCTGTTATGCATACATTTTTAATTAAAATAACTGCATAACAAAGGCAATTCTCATTCTCTTTGGCCTCAAGCTCTGGGTTCTCAAAGGAGTCTCTTTCAAATCGTATTCTTTCCATCCCCAAAGATTTTTCAATTATCCAAGCCTAGGGATTTTCAAGTTGTTAATCATCTAAAAATACGTCAGGCAACTTTAAAAAGTAAATTGTAGTGAGCATGACTCATTTAAAGATGAAAATTTATGTGGACACCAAGAGAGGGGTGTGTGTGTGTGTGTGTGTGTGTGTGTGTGTGTGTGTTGCAAGTTTTATTTTAGAAAGCGATGCCAACACTGTTTCTCAGACTGAGAAGGTGGTTATTCCCACCCCCCACTTTACCCCATTCTCTGGTAATACAAAAGTAAACATCATTTCTCCCATTCTAAGTACTATAAAATCTGAATTAGAGAAGTCTGGTTAATGAGGCTTTACTGAGCCCATAATGCCTACTTTTTGCTTCTTAAAGCAAAAAACCATACTTTTTGCCGTTGGGAGGAAAGAAAAATCGGAAACCAAGGACCCTTTATTTATGATTATCTTTGATTTATTTCTTTGTCCTAAGTGCTGTAAATGCCACACTGAGATCTCAAGTTTAAACGAATTCCTGCGCAGGATTTTTCTAAACGCAAGCAGTGCTCTGAGAGTCGACACGATCCAGATGATTTTTTAGGACGTCACATAATCGCAAACACCTGGAGAACGGCCGTGGGTGGCTGACGGAATTGGGGGCGTTATGTTTAAACTCAAGAGTTGCGTGTGTCTAATTAAGAAATCTGTAATCAGAAACAGGTGTTTTCTGCAAGAGGGTCCATGCTGCCTGATCCGGCTCCATCCTTTCCTCCTTCTTCGTCCTCCACTTTCCAGGGGTCTTCACTGAACACCTCTGCTTCCTCGTCGGTTCTTACCTCTTCATGTGTTTGTATATTTGGAAGGAGAGAAACAAAAAGCCAAAGCAGGAACGAAAGAAAAGTGGCTCTTGCGATGTGAAATTGAAGCAAGGTGTACCTCCAGGAGCTATAAATTAATCCTGCAGAATCACAGCACAAGATACCATAAAGTTTGTTGTTTCTTTCTGGTATTTAAGGAGGAGGAGTGTGCTGACCTCATTCAATGTTTCTAGATGCAAGGCTTTTTCTTTAAAGCAAAAAGTTGACATTATAGGTAAAACTATATTTTCTTTTAATTTCCAGGTGCCCCAAATGGTGGCTGTTTTTCTATTGGTAGCTGAGTAGGAAAAAGAGAAAAACAAAACACAAACATGAATTGAGGTCATGGCTGTTGCCAGAGGCCAGCAAGGAACGTATTGCATAACAGAAGCGGCTAGTGGGTCTTCAAGGATTCTTCAAGGATAGAAACGTAATGTTTGAACCCATGCAGTTAAGGACCCAAGTTATTTTACAAAAATGTTTTAATTAGTTGCGTAAATCACTGAGAATTCTCAAATGTCACCGCACTAAATAAGCTCATCCAATCTCGACCCCGCATAAACACCTTGGTAAGTGCCAGAAGGCAGCTTGAACAAAAAAGGAAAAGATAACCAACATGGTTTTTGGGTATTTGGCCAAATATTTTAAAGGCTCTCCTGGGGCCTGCCTTGCCATTTCCTGCCACAACCCTGCCTGGGGGCCAATGCTGGGGGGGGGGGGGGGAAGGGGGCGCTCTGGCCCTGAAGGCGTGGCCCAGCCTCTGGGAACCACTCAGGCTCCCCCGAGGGAGTCTCGGGTTTGTCACTTACTAGGTGTGAAATGTGGGGCAAGTCCTTTAACTTCAGGAGGCCTGGTTTCCTCAAGTACAATGTGGACAGAGGAGATGAGCTCAC